TCACCTATTTTTTATCAATACATGTTGAAAATTTCAAGTGATTTGGATTGATAGAAAAAAAATTAAAATTCAAACATTATCGGATATCCGTGATCGTTAGATCGGCCCAAATTCAATCTAAACCGTTAAGCTCATTTTTTCCTGTCACCCTAGCAATATCAAAAAGTTCATTTGGTGAGGGATTGATTTTTGTAAATTTCTTAATCTACAATATTGCCACAAGTCGGTTGGAAAAGGACATAATACGTTTTTAGTTGTGGGATACATGGATTGGAAGCTCTCATATACATTTTCCTAGATGTCATCTTTTTAGGAGGTCAGGCAGAGGTGAACACTAATAATGACTGGTCTATTTCTTCGAGGTATAGGAGAACGTCCAATATATTTATTGCTGAATTTCAAAGACTTATGGAGTTACCCCAAACTTTTTATTATTGCCCTGACAAAGTTGATAGCCTAATATGGGATCTCACTACTTCATTGGACTTCATGGTCAAGTCGGTGTATAAGCTCCTTAATGGGGAATGTGGTAGATTTTCATAATCAAGTTTGGGAGAACTATGGTGTTTGCATATTCCTCTCAAAGCAAGTTTTCCTTTGGATAGCTTATCAAAAGTAGTTGGCCATCTACGAATGGGGTTTTATCTCAATTAATATTTGTATATGCTGTAAAGAAGATAATGAATCGGTGCATCATTTATTCTTTCACTGCCTTTACTATAAGGCTGTAGGATTGGGGAACGGAACATTTGAACCCGCATATTCAGGTACCTTGTACTATGGAGTTGTTTCCCCCACAATGGAGTTCACCGGGGATATCTAAGCTCGGAACTATTTTGTGGAGATCCTTATAGGTGAGTATAATATGGAATGTGCGGAAAGAAAGAAATAGAAAGATCTTTCGTTGATTAAAAAAATTTTGTGCTCTTGTCAAAAAAAAAAAAGGAAAATCTTTGAAAGAGCCTGCTTAGAGGTCTCGATATTAAGATTCAAAGTTTTGGCGTTGGCAGTTGAATGGACGGGGAATCATAAACAAGGAAGATTTGTATCTTCTGATAAACTCATCTTAAACTCAATGGAGGTATTCAAAATGACTTTTGATCCGTGTAAGAGGCAGACAATATGGATTTATCTGCTAGTAGAATGCCTCAAATTAAACTTTGATTGTAGTTCTCTTAGAAATCCGAGCTCGGTTAGTTTCGATTGACTCATTAGAGATCACATAGGTAGGATACTTATCTCTTACTCAGGTCCGTATAATTTAGTTACTGTAAATAAGGCTGAGGCAAGAGCGATGTTACACGGCTTAAAGTTGATATCTAAATTGGCAAGCAACAAGATCATTGAGAGTGATCTTACTAATATTATAGCAAGGAGTAAGGGAGAAGCTAGGCCGTGCCCATTATGGATGAGATCAAAGATATTTTATCTTCTCTTTCGAATGAGCTTTACCATTACTTTAAGGAGTCCAATATGGATGCATATTTTCTTGTGAATGGAGGTGTTCATAAACAATCGTTGGTGATCACCAATTTCTCTCAAGTGCCTCCTTTCTTTTTTGTGTGCATATAGTATTTAATTTGAAACTTGTTCCAAATTAATCATGTTTAAGCCCCATTTGAAAGCCCAAATCATTTTATTGGATGGAAAACTAAAATAAGAGAAATTGATAGTCTAGCTTTGTGATTTTTTTTAACCTGAAATAAAAAAAAAAAAACGTTTGATCTCTATCATTCTTTCACCAAAATTCTTTAAATTTTTCTAAACTATTCATATTACATTGATCTTAAAAATTCCTAACAAAGTTTTTTGGATAAAAAGGGAAAATCTTGGAAATTGATGTTTGGTTAATTTTCAATATTTTTTCTATCATTTTCTTTCAAAATGCTTTTTTGATTTATATTTTTTTTATGTTGATTTGTGCCTCCTATAGTATGCTTTTCAATTAATTATTTTATATATCTTTTTCATACTTTTTGGCTTTTTTTCTATGTTTTTATTGTTTCTTATAATATTGACCAAGTCGACCAATCCAACTTGCGGAGTTAAATGGGCAACTTGGACCCTACATGGACCTGTTTGGGTCCCCAAGCTGGTTTTTAAAACATTGCTTTAGATTATTTCTGAAAGGAAGAATTTGAGTTTTGAGTTTAACCTAAAAAAATGTTCAATTTTGAGACTTTTTTTTTTGGAAAAAGTTCATATATGGTTGCAACCATAAAATGTAGAATTACATGTACATCTCAAAAATCCATAGAAAGAGGTTCTTTTATTTTGGAAAAACCCTCTAAAAGATCATCTCGGCATCAAAATGTATGAATATGAAATAAAACATGATTTGAGTCTCAAAAATAGTGTATCTTGCTACACAATATCTAGCCCATCCGTTTTTAATATTTTCATATGTTTATAGATCTACTAGATTTTAACCATATTTAAAGTTTAAAATTTTATAATTAGAGATAAATATAGATTTTAAGATAATCTTAAAGAATCTTTACATCAAAATTACATATTATGATAGAATTTGAAGGTGTGCCTTAATTGGGTCGTTTAAAGTTGCATCCTTATAGAAACCGCACCCCTTTTTTTTTTAAGTGCATAAAGCGTGGAGTTTCGAAATATTTCTTTTTGTTACATTTTCGAAAACTCGGATCCTAAATTTGCCGTTAGTCAGTAACTGAAGTTCAATACCGCACGAGCATGGGAGTTTAGCTCTTTACTAATGCATCGTGTACTCCCGCGGGAACTTCCGTACTTAAATTAATTAACTTCCATGAATTCTATCCCGTCTTTTTAGCGACGAAAAGTATATAAAGCTCAAATGAGAGGGGAGAGTGGGATAGAGAGTGTGGAGAGCGAGGTTATGCCATTACAGAGGGAGAGAACATTTGTACTGCTTCTTCTTCTTCTGCTGCTAAGAAGAAAGAGAAGGAAACAGAAAAGGAATCTATCCCTTCGTGTAAGGCTCATTCCTTCGTTCCTGGTTTGGTTGTTTTTTATTTTTCTCGATTTCTTAAAGAAACCCTAATTCTAGGGCTTCAAAAATATCATTTGGATTCTAGGGTTTTTTTTTCATTTTCTTGAAATTTTCACGCTTACTCAAAGAAACCCTAATTCTAGGGTTTCAGAAATATGATTTGGATTCTAGGGTTTTATTTCATTTTCTTGAATTTGCTTTTTTTGTCTTATATATTTAGAGAATATCCCATTGCACAGTTATGCATGTCTCTCTAATGCTTCTTGTATGGTTCCCTAGGTTATTTTGTTATTTCTCGAATTTTCTTTGACTCAAAACTATGATACCCATTTTCTGTTTTTTATGTGTTTAATTTTATGTAATATTCTTAAAGAATCCTCCACTGTAGGGTTACTTCAAGGCATGTACAGAGACGTCATTACATGGTTCCCTTGGTTATTTTCATCTTCATTTAAACATTTGCTTTTACCTGGCATCTCTAAAGGGCCGGCCCCCCATTGTACCTTAAAGTATATTTCAAAACATTTATTTGATGGCTTCCTTGGGTCTTTTCATCTTTATTAATTTTTTCCTCATCTGAGATTTTTGAGGTAGCCCTTGTTACAGGCTTATTTGATCTACCCTTATGTTATTATCAGTGTTCGACTAATTGGGTTGAGTTCCGCGTACTTGGGCTCGCTAGGGTGGCAAGCCCGACTATCCTTGAGTTGGGTATCCCACTTGAGGATGTTAAGAAAAATTCAAAAAAAAAAAGAAGTTTAAATTATTTGTGATATATATATATATATATATTATTTTATGTTTTCTATCATTTTGGCAAATATTGGAAAGTGCTTTGGCCATGAATAGTTATTTTTACATTATCCCTTGTTTTTTAGATTATTTCTAAAATACCCCTTCACAAATTGATTGTTTCAAATTTCACTACTGTTTTAACTTGATTTAGATGTTCTTTGTTTAATTTTTCTTTAAACATATTTTCCTATTTTTTGGATTTTTTTTTAACACGTTTTAGCTTGGCCGGAACTCGACCTTACTTGGGCCAAGTTACTGGGACTCAGGCCGAGTCCGAGTACTCGGCTTGGGCATTGGCTGGGTAACCAGCCCGAGTCATTGTTTCAGACATTGGTTATGATGGAGAATTGATAGGTTATATGGTACAATGCAGAGTTTTTGCATACTTCAAAGCTGGTGGCTTCTCCAATTATGGCGAAATCATGTGAATCGTCAATGCTTTCTTGCCGTATTGGGAGGTTGAAATTAAAGAATGAAAAAAGACATTCGTCACGTTCAAGATGTAGACCTGTCTCTAAAGATTGCATTGGCTCAGACCAGTCATGACCTCAATTGATAGCTTATTTTGCTCAAACCCAAGCGATTGAAAATCTTACTAATAAAGATTGGATACATGTTGAATGGTTGGTTATTTTGCACTATGGCAGCAAATGTTCAGCTCTGGAAAACCAATGTGCATATCATGACTGTGTAAATGCACGAAGGATTTGGATGCATATTTCTAGTTGTCAAAGTGTTCATTGTCACGTTACCCTTTGTCAGCCGCTGAGGAAATTGTGGGGGCACTATTGTCATTGTAGCAAGGATGCTTGCTTTGTTTGTTTTTGGACTCGTGTGATTACATTTGAACAGAAGCCATCTTTGAACCAGCCATCAAATTCAGGGGAGGCGGATTTGATAAGGAGTAGGGAAGAGGCTATGAGCTCAGAGCTTTTGGGGGATGTGCAACACCCACTGAAAAGAATGAGGGTTGAACAATCTGAAAGTGCAATGCCCACTTTCACCAATGAAGATTGCACCAATGAAGTGCCATACCCAATATCAGAGGTTTGTATTCTTGGGAAAGCAAAAACAGGTGTTCAAATCAAAGAGCCTGGTTTTGTTGATGTTGGGAGTTCCTTACCTTTTTGTCATGAGAGTCAAGGGAACAAACTGGAAAATGGTATGGAGCACACTTCTCAGGTGAAAGGTGATATTTCTTTCACTTCCTCAGATGGGTTGTCATCCCAAGCCACCAATGAAGATTGCACTGAGATAAACGAGTGCTGAATGGAAATAAACCAGGAATCTGTTGTCTTACTAGCCGATCCTGGAGCAGGAACTATGCATGGGACGCAGAAGCTAAGAGGTGCTTCTTTGCTTGAGTATTTCACTCCAGAGCAAATTAGAACTCACATCAACTCTCCAAGGCAGTTTGTGGGTCCGGTTAGTACCCTACTTTCTCAAGGCATACCATTCTAATTTCATGCTTCTCAATGTCTTTGCTATGGGGGGAATGCAGGCATTATGTTTTCTTTGGGATTTACATCCTGAAATATATTAGCCTTGGGGTAACTAAATGCAATCGTCTTAGTTTATTGTAACCGTAAGATTTACATGTTTCTCTCTGGGATTGCAAAATTTTAATTTAATAGATATAACTGTCTCGTCCTATGAAATTTACAACCACTTGTCTACTTTCTTTTCTCACTGTGAATGCGGTATTCTGCCTTATTTTTATGGTGCATATGATTAAATGGATAAGACTGTCGAGGTAAGTACATTTTCAAATGGTTATTTGACTTAGTATTCGAAGATAATTGATTTCCAATATATTTGCGGTATTGTGCTGCTGCTTTTTTTTTTTCTTTTTTTTCTTTTTGGGATTATTCAATCTCGAACATGATATATAAAGTATTGGTTTGATCATCTTGTTGGCACCAATTTTTCACTTTTCGCTGGTCTACCTTTGAGTTCTTTGAACTTTGTGTAGCCTAGTTTTGTTAATGATATGTTAAAAGAAAATCTTGCGCAATCTTCACGAAAATTTCATAATAATACTGTTTAAGTGCATTCTTCCACATGCATGAACTGGGACAGCGCATCTGTGGGCGTGTAGAATAGTCGGACTTCTAATATGCAGTCATCGTTCTTTCTTGTTTTCTTAATTGGCCTTTTTTGTTTTTGATTGGTAACTTAATTTCATTAACTTTTGGAGAACTTTCATGTACAGAAACATACATGATATGCATATTTCTTTATATCAAAATTTAATCTGATTAGTGGGGAATGTGCTAGTTGTTCAGTTGGCCTTGAACCCTCCCTTCATAGATTCTGGGTAATTGAGGGCCATGTTAGTATATTGAGATGCGAGTAAGGTTTGATTGTATTTATTATGCCAGTCCACTAGGTTGATGGTTCATTTTGGCAGATAGTGGTGTCTCGGGATTAGTGTTTGTCTTTTCTAGGGTTTAATACATTGTAAACATCCTTTTAGAGTTGAGAAGTTTACTGTACTGATTCTTTGGTGTTTTTCATTATAGTCATTCTAAGATACCATAACATTATAGCCACTCTAAGATGCTTTAGATAGTTTTATCTTGTGACCTCTGCAAGCATAAATGTGTTAATTTCATATTTTTTTTGTAATATTAGTTATTTGATCCCAGTTTTCCTTGAATATGTTTAATGCGAGTATTAATTTTCAGATTCTCTAACTTTTTATGTTTTCAATGTATCTAGACTAAATCGAAGGCAGAACAACGTCAAGCAATGCAGAATTCTTCAAATCAAAGTCGTTGCCAGTTGTGCTGTATGGAGAACCTTTCTTTTGCACTTGCGGTATATTGTAATTTATGTGGTCTCCATGTCAAGAGAGATGCTATATATTATATCACAAGCAATGGGGGCAAACAATCTTATATTTGTCCTAGATGCTTCCGTGGAGCACGCGGTGAGAGCATTGAAGTTGAAGGATTTCAGGTTTTCAAGTCTAATTTTGTTGAGAAAAAGAACATTGATGAACTTAACGAAGAGGTACGGATCCATCTTGTTAAAGCTAGATCTGCCAGTTCTCATCTTTGTCGATATTTCCCCCTTATTTGTGTAATGCTTCTGTATAGTGGGTTCAATGCAGTGGATGTGGATCTTGGAACCATCAGATATGTGCGCTATTCAATAATAGAAGTTATTCTGGGCAGACTGAATATGTTTGTCCCTATTGTTTTTTACAAGAGGTTGAGGGAGGAAAACGAAACCCTCTACCTCAAAGTGACCTTCACAGTGCTAAAGATTTGCCAATGACAATCCTTAGTGATCAGTTGGAGCAAAGGCTACTTAGGCGGCTAAATTGGGAGAGAGAAGAAAGGGCAAAAGTATCAGGGAAGAATTTTGATGAGGTACCGTGGTTGCATTTTTTGGATCACCTTTAAAGTTTATTGTTTTTATTTTTATTCTCTCTCTCTCTCTCTCCCACACACACTCACATGCACTATGAGTTGTGTATGTAAATGTGTAGTGGAAAATTTGAAATAAACCAGGTCTGTTTTACCTTTTTTTTGGCATTGAATAACTTCCTGTTTTTATCTTGTTACTTGATTTTATAATACAGATTTTGGCATGAATATTTCATATCTCAAGGTATGTAAGTTATGCCATTATAGAGTATATAAAGTTTGCTGAATATGGATTTATTCTCACATGCATGCATTTTGTTTTCATTTTTTATATTATTGCTCATTCACAATATGAGATAACATCTCTATCATAGTTAGGGAGAAGAAGTTTTAAATAACAATGAGTTCTGTTTTGTTTTCAAGTTGATGCTTTGATTCAAGTCCTTTTGGTCATTTGGCTGTTGTTATCTAAAGATTTTATACTGTGGGAGAACAAAGGCTTGTCCTTTTGTTATAATTTGAATTGCATGTTAACATCTTAATATTTTAATATTAATTTCTTTTTTTAATACCATTATAATGATGATGTCTGGACACTATAGTATTGTGAATCTTGGTTCATCAACGAATGGAGTGTTCAAGTTATATTCATTATAATGATGACCACATTGGTTCCAGGTGCCAGGGGCCAAAGATCTTGTCATTAGAGTTTTCTTATCTGTTGACAAGAAATTGCTAGTGAGCCAACGTTTTCTGGAGATTGTTAAAGATGAAAGTTACTCTTCAGAGTTTCCATACAAGTCAAAGGTTAGATAACATTTCCAAAAAATTAGTAAGCCAATCATGATACTTGTGTCGTCATTTTTGAGGCGTTGATGTTGAAAGGAGTCTTGAATTTGATGGTTTTTGCTAGCTCTACTGTGTTTTTGACTTGGATTTATTTGATGATTTTTTGCAGGTCATATTGCTGTTTCAAAAAATTGAAGGCGTAGACGTTGTCTTTTTTGCATGTACGTCCAAGAATATGGTTCGGAATGTCCATATCCAAACAATTGTCGTGTCTGTCTTTCATATATTGATTCTGTCAAGTACTTCCAGCCTGCGATTAAGTCTATTACTGGGGAGGCTCTTCGTACTTTTGTATATCGAGAAATTTTGGTGAGAATCTCATAATTCTTCATACTTTTCCTTTTTATCTCTTTTGTTCATTTGTCTCACTCTTAATCTGATTGCATAAGATTAAGGTTAGATATTAATATGATATTTTCCAATCCAGAATTATGGATTGCATGCGTGGTTCAAAAATTGTATAGCTGATTTAAAAATATAGAATCTGATGTGTCGGTTCATTGCCTGTTACGAGATGGGATAGTTATGATGTCTAGGTCAAGACTGGCAAAAATGATCGTACATTGCTGGTTTTTTCAATGTATTAGGTGATTTATATAAGTGGGTTTCTACCATTTTAGAAAACTTGCAATCTGTCTGGTATAAATTCTGCTACTTCCTGTACTTTTTGGAATATTACAGATGAAGATATTGTAGTGGAGCATACTAATATGTATGAACAATTCTTTGTGCGTACTGGTGAAAAGAAGGCAAATGTGACCTTGACTTCTGTGCCATATTTTGATGGGGATTACTTTGCTAGAAGGGCAGCGTATATTATTGCTAATATTGATAAAGAAGATGGTGAAAAACAACAAAAGAGTGGAAAAAGTCCAGCTTCAAAAATGGCTCCGAAATATTCAACCCAAGCTATTGTTACAAATGATACTGCAAAGGAAGCACTCTTGACACAGAAAGTACAAAGCAATTTTTTTTTAGCTATATCTTTCAAAATCATTGTGTTTTTTTTTTGCTACTTGAACTGTTATATATTAAACATTCTTGACCACTTATCAAAAAACCACATTTGTCCTCAGATGCCACTTTTTTACAAAGATAACATCATTAATTAGTTAACTGCCATTTTCTTGCGATCTTTAACATTCTTTCTATCCTTTTAAGGGTTTATGTGGTTCTTTCTTTGTTAGTTTGATCATCTTATTGAATGTAATGCTAATTTACACTGTGTTTCCTTTGCCAGCTTGGAGATTCCATTCGTAAGAAGAGGGAGGATTTTATTGTGGTTCACATGCAGCATGCATGAAAGTACTGTGGTGAATTTGAAATATCCGGCAAGCTCCGGGTTTGCATGTTGTGTGAAATTTTTTATCTTCGTGAGAAGTAAGTGCTTATTTTCGATGAATGAATTTTTACAATTTACCCTTCTAAGTGACTGTTGTCTTTCTAATGTTCGTCTTAAGATAAACTCACATGATTCTTGAAAATCATATCATCTATGTTTTATTAAGAACAGAAAAGAAAAGCTTTCGTAACTGAATGAATGCTATAGAATTTAATTGCAAAAATGCACTAAAGTGGATATTTTAAGGCACTTATAATTTCACCTTTTAATTCGGTCAGTAGGCAATGCAATATCTATTTGAATCAAAAGTAGTTTTTAACTTTTAAATGATGAAAATGTTAACTAATTTTTTGTTTATCTTGAAGTTGTTATGAGGCCGAACAAAATGTTGATTGCAAGAATCAAATTCCCTGTAACAGAAGGGGAAAGCATTCCTTTTCTCCTGTAAGTAGAGCAATTAGACATGAAGTCTCTCATCTAAATTTCGGCATACATGGATTATCTTCTGTGCATTTCAACTGTTAATATTTATAGATTTCTTAAATGTGACTTTATAGTATGGTGGACTATATAAAAATCATGGTCCATTGGGTCATTGCAGACCATTTTGAAAGATGGGCCGTGATGGAGTGTGTGTTGGGTTCACTTGAACTGACATGGAAACCTTACTTCTTTCCATCACTCTCCATCCCATTATTGGAGGTTGATGATCCAATGGACATTGCTTTACCCATTTCCATTTTATTAGGTTATATTTACCCTTACTAAATTCTATTTAAGGCTTCATTTAGCTTTTTGATCGCTATGCTTTTGGCTATATTAACAACACATATTAACTCCTTGCGGGTCGAGATGAATGATCCTTCGTCAAGCACCGAGGACAAGGATGGTATTTTACAAAGTGAAATATTTTATACACCACAAGGCTTCTTAGGCTTCTCTGTAGATAATCATTTACAATTTGATACCTTACGCCGTGCAAAGCATTCCTCTTTTGTGATCATTGATACTCTACATGACAATTTCCGCAAGAGCTTACATTGTCAGCCACTGAAGGGTCAAAGCGGAAAATAACAAGGTGAGCAGAAAAGGGGTTTGTTGAACATTCCTGTTAAAATATGTTGCTAAGTTGAATCACTATAAAGTTGTGAAAGGACCCATTCTGGGGTTTCTATGGATTGATAAATATGTAGTTAGTTACATTTGTTTTACCATGGGCAAAGTATATTCTAATCCACTGCAGTATTGTAAAACCCCGGTCATGTTGGATCTTCCTTATACATTGAAGTGATGGATAGTGATAGAGATTGACATGGAGCCACTCACCTGAGGGTGGTTGCCACTGTTCCTCCATCACTATCCATGGCTTTAGTGGAGGGTGAATGGGGATTTCTACAATGTATTGGGTTACGCCATAATTTCCCTTGACCATGTATATACCATTGTTTTCCCTTGATGAATATTCCTTCTAAGATTGTATGGTTTTTGTGTAACATGAGTCATGAGAGTGCATTGCATATTACAACATGATTTAGGAAAATGAGAGAAGGAAAATAAAACATAAAATAATCTTTTATGAGACCCAAAATTCAGTACTTCTATTTCTGTTTTCCTTCTTACATATTTATAAAAGTAACCTTAAGTCACTTTTCCCATAAGAAACCCTAGTCACTATTAAATCTTCGCCCTTCATCTTCTCAAATTAAATTTTAACTCTATCCCTCAGTTCTCTATAACAAAAAAAGACTTAATTACCTAAGATAACTAAAAAAATTAAATGATCAAATGAACCCAATCTCCATCTTTGAAGAAAAAAGCAAAATAAACAAATCTACCTGTTACCTTTCATGCGCACACATGGGAAAGGGGTTCTAATAGTTATTTTACAACCTTTGATTGCATGATCTCTTTACTCAACTTCAAATAGAGTAGGATCTTCTTCTTCGACTTGGGTGAGCAATGCCAATATCCCAATTGTTTTGAACTTGAACTTTTCAGTGGTCATGCTAACTCTAGCTGATGCTATGCCTGAGCAATGGAGAAATGGAAAAGGCATTTGAAAGATGTGATTCAAACATGATAGGGAGCTATCCGTACTAGATCACTTTCAAATGCTAATCCAGTTGAGAGCACTGAAGAACAATGGATGGTCGCTTTCCCCCAACCCCCGCACCCCACCGTATTAATCTGATGTTTTAGAGCTATCCTTACTAGAGCACTGAAGAACAATGTATGGTCGCGCCCCCCCTCCCCCTCCCCACCTCATCGGTGTCCAATATCATATGCATCATCAAACTTAATGCTCTTTTGTGGTTTAATCTGAGGAGTCCTTAACATCTCTCTCTCTCTCTCAATCCATCTCAACAATGTCATTTTTCTTTTGTTTACTTGATTAAAAGGTTTTCATTTGCACTAGTTAACACTGTAAATTTGCTTATGTATCATCAGCTTGAAGGATCGAAAGTCGAATTCCATTAGGAGATTGGTGTAAAAGAAGAAGAACCGGCCTTTCATTGCCTTAGGAGTTGCAGAGGCAGGAGGAAAGAAACAGAACCAAAAGAGGTTGCTGAGTCATTCAATATTTGCTCTGATCTTCCCTTTAAGATGCTGTGTATAATAATTAATTTGCAATACACTCTTTTTCTCCCTCTATCTATCTATCTATTTGTTTGTCTATCAATCCATCCATCTGTTCATTTTCATCTATTTATTTGTTTCTTCATGTATTAGCTATGACATTGTATATTATAATTTAATCTGAAATTATTTTCTGAATTCATTTTTTTGAATTCATTTTCTGATCTGACCTTAAGGATGGAGCAATTGTACAATACACGAAGGAAAATATTCCACACCCATTGCATGATACTTGAAAGAAGATATTCCACGCTGAAACTTGTCTAAGGACAAAGGTGTTTTTAGCTTTTCAATAGGTTTTTGGAATGTGATGGGCATTCGGGGATTGAATTTTAGTAACTGTATGTATGTGAAACCATAAATGACGGTCCCCTGACTCATCTATTTATATAAGTGCTCCCTCCAAAATCCATCTTATCTTCGAGATGGATTCTAGATCCAAAAGTTTAGGGGTTGAGAATCTCCATCACAGTGAATATGAATCTAACAAAAGAATTACATTTTAAAATAAAAAATGATATTTTTGAGATGGATGTTTGATGCATCAAGGGGACGCATATGGCATGCGTCCCTTGATGCATGGAACACTTTTCCTATCGTAAATCCTGTGTTTTTGGTAACCAAAGGCTTCTTAATGACTTTTATATTTTTAACGGGTTGTTCATTGTGAACTTAGGAGTTTGAACATGTACTTGTAAAACTACTATATTTTCAAGAGAAAGTATACAAAGAGACCATTAACCTTTGTTACAAGGTGGTCACAAATAATCTTGACCATTAGATGTAAAATTCGGTGACATATTTATTTCATTGACCGAGCTCAAGGTTCAAAAATTTTCTCGAACTTTGTGACACACCCAAGCTATCAGATTTTACATCGGATGGTTATAAGTAATTGTGACCTCAATATACCAAAGCTAAATGGTTTTATTGTATAGAATCCCTATCTGTAAAGGTTCTTTGTGGCGGGCGGTTAACTAAGAGGGTTGGCAATGGGTCACACAGTCCGGCATGATTCCAAAAGATGTAGGCTGTGGGCCACAAAATATGGCCCGAGGACCAGGCCACTGCGGCTCGAGGGCCGAGTCTACCGCGGCTAGACCATTGCAGGCCTGGTGTTTCTCCTTAAAGACCTTTTTTTTTCTTTTTTCTTTTTTTAAAATGGTCTATGTGACCCAGCTTGGCTTGAGCCAATATCCCTTTGACCCAGTCTTGGCAATGCCTCGGGGGCTGGCCCGATCTATAGCCAGCCCTAGACATCTCACTGACGGGCTTTGACTGTCATAACATAACAAACTCCAATCATTTTTCCCTTGATTTTTGTATAAATCTAATTTTCACAACTGTAACCAATGCTTTTTCTGCATCGATAGAGGTTGAATGTTGATGATTATTTCTAGTAATGTAATGTAGTAATTATTCTTTAAAGGCCCACATGCCAACACACACACACTCTCTCTCCTTGCTTTGTGTATGTTCAGGAGCATACTATACATTTACTCCATCGGGTGAAACATTTATTTTAAAGAATTTTTTTTGCATTTGATTTGAAATTTTGTGTTCCATCTAATTATAACTAGAAGATTATTTTCAAATAAAAAAATTGTAGATTTTGAGTTCCTGAACATCTAGATCATGTCCTCCAAAAATTAGATGGTTCCAGTGTAATCTTGGGATTCCATTCTTTTTAGGCACATAGAGAGTGTATTTTTTTTTTGGGATAATATCCTATTATCTCTTATTTTTAACTTCTATATCTCATCAGACCCCAGAATTGAAAATATTATAAGCAAAAAGACTCCATCTTTTCTATCTTTCAACCCCCTAAACCCTTTTGACAATGTATTATTGACCTCAACAACTTATGAAATGACTCTATCTCTTACTCTCTCTAAAACTCCATCTCTCTCTCACATCATCGTCTTTCTCTCTCTCTCAAAACTCCATTTCTCTCTAAAACCCAAACTCCGTCTCTCTCTTACATCATCATCTCTCTCTCTCTCTCTCAAAACTCCATCTCTCTCCCTAAAACTCAAACTCCATCTCTTTATCTCTAAAACTGCATCTCTCTCTAAAACTCAAACTCCATCTCTCTCTCTCTAAAACTCTATCTCTCTCTCTCTACTAAACTCCAGCTCTCTCTCACATATAAGAAGTGTGCTCGTGTTCGAGCTCAAGCTAAAACCCTTGGCTGGTAAACTTATCGAGAAGCGAAGAGAGAAAGATTGAGTTTAGAGAGAGAGAGAGAGAGATATATAGTTTGAATAGGGTATCATTTTAATGTTTGTTTGGGTAAAAAATTTATGGTTAAAGAGGTCTAGGGGTGTAAGATAGAAAAGATGAAGACCTTTTGCTTATAAGTAATATTTCCAATTTTTAGATCTCATGAGATATGGAAGCAAAAAATAGAGGATAAAGAGATATTTTCCCTTTTTTGTCTTTGATATTAATTTTCTTTATTTTAGAGATCACATCTCCAAAAATTGCGATCTAAAAGATATTTTTAGTGTAAATTTTGCCTGAGATAGTAGATGAATAGTATACTCAGATATTTTTAGTGTAAATTTTGCCTGAGATAGTAGATGAATAGTATACTCCCGCAGGAGTCAAAAATCTTTTAGCTATTTTGAAACAAGAAAACAAATTTATCGGAAATACTTTATTTCAAACTATCGATTTCAAAGTAATCCAAGTATGTATTATTACATATTTGAAAAATATTATAGAGTTTTGCCTATTTTATGCGACTTTACTTAAGAGCGTGATTTCAAGTTTGATGAGTTAAGAGTCATGAATACTTTTGGTCCTTCGTGTAAGAAAACGATATAGTGTGTCTGGTTAGGGCTAGATTGGAAGGACCACTTATTTTGAGAAGTTTCCATTTCTCGCGTACTTGAAATAATAAAAGGACCGGTTTCCGCCAAGCTCGCATATGTAGAAATGCTGGTCCCTTAATAAATCTATTTTTTAGATAAATTTTAAGACTTAATTTTAAGGACTTGTAATCTCTAACATGAAGATCATGAATATGAATAAATAAATATATTTTAAAAACTAAAAGTAATAATTCTAGTAAGAAAACATTTGGACTGGTAGTTTCTATTGTTTTTTGATGGAACATCTACTTGCATCCATCTTTAACATGGATGCTTTATGCTTTCTGGAAGGCATGTGTAGGAATGAAGTCCAGCCCGCATGAAACAATTTTCTATAGTTAAAAGCCATGTTTGGTCTACTCTTGTTTAAGAGTAATTCCGATTTCAGCATGTTTGCTTGAAAGGCACCGTTATTTATGCGGCTCCATATTAAGAATAAGGGAAATTTACGAATGGATTGGGTTTTTTTTACCGTTATAACGGTATGGCCTAAAAATTGGCCGATATTATTTGAAAGGATGCTTCAGTAATTTTTTATTTATTTATTATCAAATTTGCCCTCGATCCGATATTTAAAATATCGTACCGCTATATTTACCCCTCAAAAACGAAAACTCTCTCTTTGTGTGGAAGCAAATTAGCTTTCTTTCTAGCTTTTTAAGCAAATTAACAGTATCTAGTTTTTTGAAGCAATGCAACTCTCTCTCTAGTTTTTGTACCTCTACCCATTACATAAAGTACCTCTCCCTCTCCTCTCTCTCTTGAGCTAGCAAACAAACACACCTATCACAAGTCGGACACCTAAAAATGCAAAAAAAGCAAAAAGAAAAAAAAAGAACAAGAGACGAGTGGTAGAAGCAGCAACAATAGAGGGAGAGGGGTACCGACACCGTGCTGCGGTTGAAAGAAAGACTAATGCAATTTTATTGTTAAATTTTTTTTTTTTTTTCTTCTTTTCATTCCTTTTTTTTTTTTTTTCTTTTCTTTTGACAAAGATCACTTACAAGCAGTTTTATTACAATAATTCTTGCTTTAAAGAAAATAAAACTAACAAATCCAACATCTTAAAGACCTTGATGCCATTAAACCATTTTTTTTTTAAACAAAAAAAATATCCACAATTCTTATGCTTAGGAATATAAAACCAATATAATTAAATATAGCAAGAAACCAAAAAAGAGAATACCGAAGATTATCTCAAACGGGCTTATTACACCCCACATCGAGTCACCTACATTCGATGGCGTGAGATCAATGGTTTTCCTTCAATCTCGAACTGGGAAAACAAATTTCGGCCAAACTGAGTATTCACTATTAAATCTCTACAAACTCTAATCCCGATTCTTGGCTTACCCCTAATTTGGTAACCCTTATTATTCCCAAAATTTTATTGGCTTACCCTTAATTTCCAACCCTTAGTATTTTTAAAGCATGAGAGAAAAAGTGGGAGACCTAAGGTTGGTACGTGCCCCTCTAGAGGCTTAGGAGAGAGAGGGTTAAAGAGAGAAAGTTGGAGAGAGAGAGATACCTAAAGGAGAGAGAGTGGGGCGTGCCGCTATAGGAGAGAGAGAATTGTGGGAGAGAAAAAAATATAGAGAATAGGAATAGGGTGCACCTTATTTATAGAGAAAACTTAGGTTTAGAGTTTCTTAGGGTTTCTCATAGTTTGTCTATTTCTTGAAATTGAATATGGACCATTGACCAAGGTGACTTGTGGGGTAATAGATATGAGTCATCCATTCTATAAATGGGCCGTTAACATTATTGAAAATGCTTGGACCATTATCCCCTTTTCCTTAAACCATTTTCTCATCAATATATTTTAATAAATTGAATCTTATTTAAATATTATTCATTCCATAAAATAACATATTATTTCCCATACTATTCAAAGATATGACAAATCACGATATGCTTTCAATATTTAGGATAAGATGTGGTCAATCTTTTCCATATCTAATATTAGATCACATGCCACAAGATACGTTTCCTAAATTTGAATAACTTGATAGCAAAGCAAACAACCAAGAGGTGGGGCGTGCCACCCATGTGTGGCACGTGTGGGCCCCACCCATATGGTACATGGTGGGCCCATGTGCACTATGGCCCCCATGATATTTAACAAATTAATTTTTAAAATATTATTTGAATTTTATACTTTTGTAAAATCAATAACTGTATTTTTATAAATCCAAAAATTATAAATAAAATATCAAAA